CGCTTTCGTTATGGGAATGAAGTTAGTAATAATTATGATTAACGAATCTTAAAATTAGTTTTGATTACAATTTTTAAMATTAATAAAAACTCATGGAATTTAGTTTTTTCTAATTATTTTACGGTACTTCAAATTTTAGAATATATTATTGTTATTGTTATTTTAATGTTGAAGGGTATTTCAATAGAGGTAAAATTTGTAAATTCTAATTATAAGTAAAATTTGTTTCTTCTTGCATAAATATTGCTAAATAAAGCATAAATAATTTATTGGCGTAGGCCCTCGTACGGATATAAGGGATTACGACGCTTTTGTTGTGGTAATTACAATTACTTTTTAGAAAATTATTGAATATTCTCGACAGTTATTCAAGCAATTATAATTTGTCTTTATTAGCAGAATAGTTATTTAAATTTGTGATTGAAGAGTAATTAAAGAAATGTTCTGTCATAAATTAACTACCTACTTATTACAATTATTATTTTCATTTAGGAAATAGGAAATAAATTRTTTTTCAATACTTAAATAGAGTAATTGCCAATAAATATCTATATAATGCTTAAAATTATTATTTTCAATCATAAAATAATAAATAAATTAAGTTTTAGTAGTCTTTACTACTTTTAGTAATTTCATTGTAATCATTAACAAATATTTATTTATAAAAAGATTAGTTTTTGTTTTACGAAAACAGAAAAAGCTGCTTTTAACATTTTCAACATTAATTAATAGTTACAATAATTATTGTCAATAACGATATAAGAACTAAATTAATTTTGAGTACGTAATGGGGGTAATTGTAATGTAATCATTACAAATAATTAATTATGTAAAGATTACAATTATTATTTTCATTTAGAAAATAGGAAATACATTGTTTTTCAATACTTAAATAGARTAATTGCAATGTAATTATTACCAATAATTGATTATGTAAAGATTACAATTATTATTTTCAATAAAGAAATAAGAAATAAATAAATTTTTAGCATATAATGGGGGTAATTGCAATGCAATCATTACCAATAATTAACTRCATTGATAATTAGATTCAGGAAAACAGAAAAAAAAAGATTTTAACAGTTAAAGAAAGAAATTACTAATGTAGTGATGAACATTATTTTAATATATAACGATACTAATAATTTTAATTCACGTTTACAGCTACGTAGTAGTAATTAGTAACATAATGATTATATTTATTGTTTTAGGGACGCATAAAAAATCGCCTTTACTACTTAAAGATAGTAATTAGTAATGTAATCATTACCTCAAATTATAATAATTCTATTTATTTTTTTATTTACGAAGTGAGAAAAAAATAACTCCTAATACTTAATGACAGTATTTAGTAATGTTATTATTATCATAAAATAATTAAATAATTATTATATTTTCTTTACGAAAGCAAACAAAACTCACTTTTAATATTTCAAAATAGTAAATCATAATGTTATGATTCAAATTACTTTTCGATTACTTCCATTATTTAAAATAATTTTTAATACAAACTTTGGCTATTTATACTTATTATGGTGTTATGAGCTTTAAAGTTTATAATTGATGAAAAGTTTTGTTTCTATAAAAGTTTGATTGCCTTGCATAAATCTCCTCTTAGTTTGTAAGGGAAAATAATTGARTTTCACTTTAAAAATTATACAGCAAATAACTCAATAGCAAAATATGCTGAAATAAATATTAAACTCGTTAACTTGACCGTTCTTCCTAATCGATTCTTTCATCAACTTTGGTTACACAAATATTCTTAGTATTCAAAGTTATGGCTCCAAACACTTTGCATACCAAGAAATCTTTATAAATACCAACTATAGAATTTTCACATATTTCCCATGAAACTTTTCGCAAATATTTCATAACATCCAGTTACCGACTCGAATCGAATTCCTGCGTAATATTTCTTTATTTCCTGCAACAAAAATTCCTTTGCTTAACGTGCAACCTGGCCAAGCTTTGAACTTTGCAATTAACAGAATGCAATCTCTCATAGTTATGCCAAAGGAAAGTATTTTTTTCGCATAACTTTTCGCTTTTGTTATTTTAAGGAAATGMTTGTAAAAATAACCTTAGAGCCTTCGCTGTGTGCATAAACTTTTACCACTCAAAGCTATCAAATTTGCGCTCATCAATCAAAAGCAGAAAAAAAAAAATATTTACAAACACTTACAAACACGGGAAATAAATAAAATGGAAAGTGAAAGAACTAGAGCGCACCTTAGATCATCAGCAGCGGGCCGTAGAACTCAGCACACCACATCAGCAGGGCACAGCAATGCCGCGTCGCACGCCGCGCCGACAGTGCTTACACTGCACTACACTTTGTTCAGCCGACGGCTGTCTCCCTTTGGTGGTTTTATTTGGATGTGTGAGTGTTTGTAAACAGGCACATTGATTCACACGCACACACGATCGCACAAAGTCGCACAAATGTCAACCCACTACAACTCCTTGTCGCAATAAATTCTTTCGTTTGCAGTTTTTATTGTTTTTGTTTTTCGATTTTTTGTTTCCTTTTTGCTTTTTTTTTCAATTTCTTTTGCTATTTGTTTGTTTTCGCTTGTATTTGTTGTGCTGCTCTGCACCCACTTTACGCCGCCACACACTTTTTAAATTATTGGCAATATTTTTTCTCAAATATATAGATATATATATATAGGATATATTTACAGAAATACATGTGGTAGAAGCTTCGAACAAAGTCACCCACTCTTTCTTGCTTTTTGCTGCTGCTCACCACTTCATTCGCCTTTTAATTTATTTCATATTTATTTTTGTATTCAAATATTTTATATTTATAAGCGCAGYGAGCTTATATTATATTTACTAGACATTTGTATTTGTATTTATAAATATTCTCAAAAATATTTTTGTTTTCTGCACACTGCTATTGAGGCTGTTGTTGTTGCTGCTGCGACGGCTACTTCTTGGCTGCCACCAATACGTCAGTGTTTTTTATCACTTGCTCATCAGCGAAAACACAAACAAAAAATTATCTTTTCGTTTTTTTTTTTTCTTTTTGTGGTTATAGTGTGTTTGTGCTTTTGTTATATTCTTATTTTTTCTTATTTAAATATTATCTTATTTTATTTTACTTTATTTTATTTCGTTTTTCTTTTTTGTCTCGTTTTCCACGCGTTACCGCCGGCAGTTCCACTGAAACTGAGCCATTTCACGCTGTGCTGTTTGCTTTTATTCGTTGTGGCCAACATTGCTGGCAGCGATGTGTTCACCACGTCCTCCACCACGTCCCCCACAGCAGCACGCACACCTGCTCTCTTGTTCTTTGCCTGATTTTCACAACTCACAACGTTCTACGCTCACGTGGCGTGCAAACAGAGAGTATTGCCAATTTGCTTTTGCTGTTTCAAAGTGCAGCAAGTGGTGGAAAATATTGTKTGGCACATTTCTCCAGAGAGAGTGAGAGCGAAAGTAGTGGTAATGATGGTGTGTTGCCATATTTATGTATATATATATTTTTTTAAATTTTAATTTATAAGAATGCTTAAAATTTTTAATCAGAAAAACACCCAGATTAATTACTTTAGAAATAAAAATGGTCAGATCTCAATTTCGGGAACCCGAATTATAGAGATTTAACTGCACTCAAATTTAAGCTTGAGAATTGGATAAACCCCTTTTTTTTACAAATTACATTTAACAAACTAAAAGACGTTTTTTTAAATATACATAAATTACGGGGATTCTTTCTCGGGATACCGAATTTTCGGGATTTTTATTATATTAAAATTTATGTTTTGAATTGTGTACACACATGACTAAAAAAAACTAAACAAACAATAACTAGAAGAACTATTTTTAGAAATAAAAATTATCGGGATTCTTTTTCGGGATACCGAATTTTCRGGGTTTTTACTAATCCTAAATTTATGATTGAGTCCACACATTTCTATTTTTAGAAAATTTATACATTTTTAAATTTTTTTATGAATAAAAATTACTGGATTGAAATTTCGGTATCCCGAATTTTCGGGATTTTTACTAAACCAAACTAAACAAACAACAACTAGAAGAAATTTTTTTTTAGAAATAAAAATGTAATACATACACACTTTTTCAGTAATAAAAATTATCAGGAAGCAATTTCGGTATCCCGAAGTTTCGAGATTTTTAATAATCCCAAATTTATGATTAAAAATTGCGAACACTTCTATTTTTAGCAAATTAATACGTAAAATCACTATTTATAAGTTAAACATAAATCGCGAATAATTACGGAATCCCGAAGTTAACAGTTTTAAATTTCCAGGTTTGAGTTGCTATGAAAACCTATGAAAATTTCAATAAAATACATATAAACAAAAATTAACATAAATCTAGAAAAAAAATTCAGATCCCGAAATTACAGTTATATCTCAAAAATACTCGAATTGTCATAAATTTTAGTTTATATAGCATTTGATAACAATATATTTTTCGGGATAGGCAAAGTGGTCAGGCAGATTGAATCTAGAAAATCTTGATCGCATTAAATGTTATTTAAGTGAAATAATTCCACCTTTTAAGAGCAATGTGCCTTCTCCTAGCTCTTGAGACCACAGTTCCACGTAAAATTATTTATCTTRTCATTTTTATACTCTCGCAACAAAGTTGCTAAGGAGAGTATTATAGTTTTGTTTACATAACGGTTGTTTGTAAGTCCTAAAACTAAAAGAGTCAGATATAGGGTTATATATACCAAAATGATCAGGGTGACGCGTGGAGTTGAAATCCGAATGTCTGTCTGTCCGTCCGTCCGTCTATCCGTCCGTCCGTGCAAGCTGTAACTTGAGTAAAAATTGAGATATCATTATGAAACTTGGTACACATATTTCTTTCCTCCATAAGAAGGCTAAGTTCGAAGATGAGCAAAATCGGCCCACTGCTACGCTCACAAAATGGCGAAAACCGAAAACCTATAAAGTGTCATAACTAAGCCATAAATAAAAGATATTAAAGTGAAATTTGGCACAAAGGATGGCATCACGAGGGGCATATTTGAACGTAAATGGCGTCGCCAAAAACCATATCTCAGGAACTACTTGACCGATTTCAATGAAATTCGGTATATAATATTTTCTTAACACCCTGATGACATGTACGAAATATGGGTGAAATCGGTTCTCACCCATGCCTTCTTCCAATATAACGCTATTCTGAATTCCTTCTGGTGCCTTCTCTGTATAATATATACATTAGGAACCAATGATGATAGCGGAATAAAACTGTACACAAATACGGAATTTGAGCTGAGGTATCCCTTGTGGAAAAATTGTCGTGATCGGACTATAACTTTTCACGGWCCCTGATATCGAACACGAAGAACTCAGTGCCTAACCTAACCTAACCTAATTTTTCACCGAAAATATCGCTGAATCTYTCAGAWATTTTCATGTAATTSAGAGGGCATCATTTTTATACTCTYGSAATAAAKTTGCTAATAACSGTATATATCGTTAGATATATGATTACATATAACAAAGTGATCAGGGTGACGAGTAGAGTTAAAATTCGTATGTCTGTCTATCCGTCCGTGCAAGCTGTAACTTGGGTAAAAATTGAGATATCTTTATGAAAGTTGTCATGCGAAAGTATAAAATGTTCGGTGACACCCGAACTTAGCCCTTCCTTACTTGTTGATATTATCTTCCTTTCCTAATGATTGTCTATTTGTGGGAGGTATAGAAATCCCAAAGTAATTAGCAATATGACTTGAATAATAAAAAAATTTAGAACTTTATAAATCATTAAAAAGGATTTATGGGCAACATTCCTAACAAAGAGCAGCCGASCATTCACTCTCATCTCTCACAGCAGCAACACTCTCCTGTACTTTCTCTTTACTTTCACTACCAAATTGACTGCCATCACGAACTCTCTGTAGCTACGTCTGACAAAACGTCATCACTTCAAACAAACCTACACATTTACATACCATTATGCAGAAGTGAAAAACGATGACGTCACACACGCTCTTGACACCAATGCTGCAAGCATTGCTAGTTGCTTGGCCGAGTGAAGGCTGCTGAGTTTGTACGAATGTGTGTTCGTGTGTGTGTGTGTTAGGCGGCTGCAAGAATCATTGAAACATTCGATCACTCACCGGAGTAATGCAATTTTGCACGTGCAATTTTTATGAATTACTTTTGCCTTTGCCTAGCAAGGAAAATCAATTTATATGCAATGTGAGAGGAGAGAATCTCTGCGGGCAGCAGAATTGTTTATGGGAGTTTTTGTATCGCAGATAATCAGAATCAGAACAGCTACGTAATTTTCGACAACAAAGTGTGTTGGTGAACAAAAGTTCATTGTCACTAATCCTTCATTCTTCATCCGTTATCCTTCTTCAAGCTAAAAGTAGCTGCGCGGTTTAAATTCCCTGACTAAAAGGAAAACAAACAGCCTCCAGAAATTGAAGGTAAACTTTCACTGGAATGTATCTCATTATTTGCAGATGGAGAAGTAGGGAAGGATAGCCACACGCTGTTTCGGCGTCGCTTTTTTGGGCGCGTATTTCAGTTCTCGCGGCACAAGAAACAAATTTAAAAAAAAAATTATGACGAAAATATCAAGTGCTGTTAGGGAAGAAATGTACAATAGTCGTTGGTTGAGTGTTAATATTTGAATTTAYAACAATATGTTGGCCGCAAATCGATAGAAATTGCTGTTAGATTTGGCATTGTGTTATAATAATCGTGCTGATGATGCTGAGCGTGTGGTTTGCGTCGCTTYTTTTAATTTACTGCGCATTCAACGCTACTTCCTTTTTGTTAACGTGACATTTCGTATATTTTAGGTGTCTGGATTGATTATACCCACCAAAAATGCTACACTACTTTAAAAATGATCTATGTACAATTTTATAAAATGGGCCTAATCGCTGAACAAAATTCGGTTAGAAAATGTCAAATCTTCTTGAAATTTTCCAAGAGCGGATAGAGTGATGTGCTTGGGAAGGTTAAGTGGCTTCAGATCCGGCACAAGCTGTGACTTTCAATTTAAGAKCAGTCYGAGTTGCTGMGAATGGTGTCGAATCGACTCTAAATGGTCTTCGTATACACTCTCAGCTACGACTGCTATATTTTCTTCACTGCGTTCTGTACGTGGTATATTCGGTCAAATATTATCCAGTAATGAATGCTGGGCCTCAAGATGAGTGATGGTGTTGTGAATAGTACGCTCAGTGGACCGATTATTTTGATCATAAGTTAAGCGGAGCGCGCGAAACATATTCTTTACAGAACGTGAATTTTTTCCCTCTTTCTAAGTTATCGGAGTTGCACTCACCAACTCTTCGGTTTGACCGAGAATCTTACAATGGTCCGGAACTCTAAAAATAAGCTCGAAGGAGAGCTCCTTGCAGAAAAATCTCCCTATTTGCTGACCCATCGATTCATCTGTAGAAAAGTTAACTGCGCCTCTTCTCCAGCGACTTCTTCTCGCCCACATATTCTTCATCGGTATGTGAACAGAGAAAAAGCCACCACGAGTAGCTTCTGCGACGGAAAAATGCAGTACAAGTAGGAGAGAATTGCAGCGTGCCCTTGTTTGGACCCTTATATTTAGTTTCTCTGATCTTTAGAGCCAGCAGAGCATTTGCCGGTAATAGCCAAGGAGATTTCACATTCAGTACTATTGTTGGTGTACTCCGTTTTCACCGGAGATGCTAATTAGAGCAACTATTTGAACAGGTTTAAGCTTTTTACCGAACCTGGCCTTTTTGAAAACTCGCAACCAGACAAATACMGCATAGAATATTATTGGCTTGACTACCAAACGTTACTTTTGCGGCGAGTCCCTACCGTTTCTCCATAGA